TTGATATTTTATGTCCAGAGGGGTGGTCCCCTCCTCATGCTTGGCTATGTCCCTCAAATGCCAAAGTTTCTAGCACGTTACAAGAAAACTGGTTAGCCACAGCTGATGAGTCTTTCTATAGTCCCTTAGTACATGTAAAATTGTCTCTTCTTCAATATTGCAGCAAGGACACCTCAGATCACTCCTCCCTCAATGAGCCAACCTCGCATTTGTCGAAAGTCTATGATGTAGTGTCTTCCACATAAAAATCTTTATTTTCTATGGCCCATTCCAATCCCACAAAGATTTCCAAACTCTCATTTCATCCTCATCTATGTAATTTGATAAATAATGATAGATATCACTGACAAAAACTGATGAGGACCCAGAAAAACACCACACTCTTATACCCGGTCCATCCTTTGACGAAAGAGGAAGAGTATTACAGATTATATCAATTGCATTTAATAGCAACCATTCTTTAAGCAGATCTGAATTCCACTCACTGATGGCATCACCATATACGAAACTGCAGAGTTGAAATCTAAAACCAAATTATTATTTACAATTACCTCCTGCAGAGGCCCATAGTTAGCTAACCATTTGTCTTTCCAAAAGAGCACACCTTTCCCACTGCCAAGCACCCATATAAGATGATCCTCCAATGCACCCTAGACCCTACACAAATTTTTTCATAAATTAGAGTCTCCACCCCTAGCTATAACCGGTTGTTGTCTCCCACCATTTGACATATATTTAGCATGCAAAACTCGGGCCCATAACTGATTACCATGCAGATATGGATTGCATTCTTAAATATTATGAGATGGATAACTACACAAGGATTTGTATACACTTTGCTAAGTTATTTTATTCCAATTATATAATAAATTGCTAATAAATCAATATTTGTAATATTTTCCAGGATTGCAAATTCAATTGAGATTCTAAATTATTAATTATTAATTCTATATAAAAGTTAAATTTAAATTTTTTTTAAAAAATTCATGTATTTTCTGTGGAGGTTAAAAATCGCCTTTAATCAATTTTACTGATGATTTTTCATAATTTTTTGTGGTAGTTTAAAATTGTCGCTGATATTACCAAATCGCCGTTAAAGGTAGATTTGAGGACGGTTAGCAAACCACTACAGATTTTTTAATAATAGCACATTCCCTTCGTATGCCGTCAGTTGTAACTGCCTCCAAACAAATATGCGGTGGTTACTTCAGTAGTTAGATGAAATTGTCGTGGAAGAGCTCTCGACACTTCTAACTTTGGCGGTTTGGTAACCGCCATTTCAAATGTTTTAAACTGCTGCGAAATGTCATTTTAATTGCCGCAAAATGCTTATTTTCTTGTAGTGTAAGAAATAATATTATCTCCTACACATACATAAAAGTGTGTGAGATTCATGTGGGATCATGTAAGGAGAAAAGAGAAGAAGAAAAAACTCCATGCACTTTTATGTGTATGTAGGAGATAAAATTATAATATTTCTCATAATGTATGATATAAATATTACTCCTACTTATATAAAATTATGTGAGATTTATGATTTCTTTTTTTTCTCTTTTCTCTGTACATGTCCCCTTATGGACCCAACACACTTTTATGTGTATACGTAGGAGATAATTTTATTTCTTATCCCGTGAAAAATATTAAACTATATATATATAAACATGATCATTTGACATCGATGTCAAAATAAATTTTTTGACACTTTATCTGAACCACTGATTTATGTCGATCTGATGGCTGTAATTTATTGAGTTATATCCATAAATTAATCAGTAATTCTCACTACATTAATATCGTCAGATTGACTGAAATCAACAGTTAAGATAGTGTGTCAAACTTTTTATTTTGACACCAGTGTCAAATCATTATGTATATATATATATATATATATATATATATATATATATATATATATATGAGGTAGGTTATTCTTACACCAGTATAAGAATATGAAATGTTACCCCAAATTTTAACCGTTGATTTCCGTGTATCTAACGGTTAAGATTTATTGGTTCATATTAATTAATTATTATGACCCAATAAATCTTTTTTTTTTGTTTCCCAAGGTATCCTCTGACCCGACAGCCAAAGACTAATCCTTTTGAGGCGGGAGATTAGATTAAGTGGGTAAACCTCTCCCAACAAAGCCTTTTTCATACACAAGGCTAGAAATCGAACCATTGTCAGCATGCTTACGTAACCTAGCTATCTACCAACTGTGTTGAGCTTTGTTGGTATGACCCAATAAATCTTAACCATTAGATGTACGAAAATCAACAGTTAAGATTTGGGATAAGAGTTATTATTTTTACACCGGTGTAAGTTGATCATCTCCATATATACATATATATATATATATATATATATATATATATATATATAAAATTATATATATATATTTGGGATAAGTTATTCTGTCTACTCTTATTTTGCCTACCTTTCTCAATACCGTTAGATTACAATCTCATCCAAAGGTGGAGATATTTGCATAATAAAATAAACTATTTTCATCTTTCTTTTTCCTTATTGTCTCCCACACTTTTTCTCTCTCCTCCCCTTTCTCTCTATCGAGTTTTGTAATTTACAACCCGAAGTTATATTTTAATCTAAATACATGCAATGATTAATGGCATGATAGTTCTGCTGCATGGGTATAATTTTCAAAATTTCTTGAATATGATATAATTGAACATGGCAGAAATCATAAAATTACAAAAAAATAAAAAACACAAATAACGCTTCATGATAAACTCTTTTACCCCTTTCTCTCTCCCACTGCCTCTCACTCTTTCTCTCTCCTCCCCTTTCTCTCTCTTCAATGGCGTTTCAGCATCAAAAAATGGTGCAAGTGTTTTTCTCAATTCATCAAACCCAGCCATTGTTATGAGCATTTACATAAAAAATTGAAAAGGGGTGTCAAGAAGAAACAAATCCAGATGCCCTATGTTAAGGAATCAGGTAGGCCTGTTGTTAGGCGTAACATAGAGAGAACAAATATTCTTTCCCCACTTCAAGGTGAAAAACAAGAGAAGAAGAAGGAGATAAGTTGATCCGATTTCAAATTTCAACAACAAAGTAAAAACGTTGCGGTAATCGTGGATTAATTTAAAGGAAGGGATTATTTGTGATTTTTGTTTTTTTTGGTTTCTATTGTGTTCAATTATATCAGATTCAAGAAATTTTAAAAATTATACTCATCCAGCAGAACTATCATGCCATTAATCATTGTATGGATTTAGATTCAAATATAAATTCAGGTTGTAAATTACGCAAATCAATAGAGAGAAAGGGGTAGAGAGAAAGAGTATGGGAGGCAGTAAGGAGAAAGAAAGGGAAAAATGATGTATTTTATTCCACAAATCTCCAACGTTGGATGAGATTGTAATCTGTCGGTGTTAAGAGAGATAGGCAAAGGTAGACAAAATAAGAGTAGACAGAATAACATATTCTTTTTATCTGTAGTATATATCATTTTCATCCATATTTCTCATTGATTTTTAGAATTTCCTAATTTATTTAAATATTATATGATATTTCATTTTTTATAAAATCACAAAAAAAAAAATATTTACAAAACATCCTTAAATAATTATATAAATTGAGATTTAACATAACAGTCAATAAATATTTTGGATAAAAGTATTATGCAACATGATTCATAAAATTCAGGTTCCAAAAATTAAAAAGATTATTTATTTAATAACTATGATAAACATTTCACAACTTAAGAATTAAATTTAAATTGTAAATCTGATAAATCTACATCTGTTTTAAAATAAAATAAAACTATAATTTGAAAATAAAATAGGGTAACTCTGTACACTTTTTCCTTTATTGTTATTGGTAATATAATAAATTTAGCAGAAATAATACTTTTAAATTAAATTCTATGTGATTATTAATTAAGTAGCGAATATTATATTGGAAATAAAACTGACAAGAAAAATATTATGTGACAAAAATTGAGGTTTATTTATAGGGTTTTATAAAAGTTATGTCGTAGGAAAAGTGATTGTGTTATGTTATAGAGATTCATTTTGCATGCCAAAGTTTTTTTTTTTTTGCTGCGGGCCTCACAAAATATTATGTGTGTAGAAAATTTTTTGTGGTCATGTTAAATGATAGATGATAAACCCTTATTTATATTATGTTTTGGAAACTATAATTAGTCAATTAACCAGTGGGAAATGGGAATCACGCAGTCAATAGTGTAATACGTTTTGCCCTGACGTAACAGTATAGTGAAATGTAAGAGAATATACATTTGTTCCAATTGTTTATTTCATTGATTTCCTAGTTTGAATAGTAAGTATGAAACGAGCCAAACTCAAGAAATATAAAGGAATCAAAATACTTTATTGTGACGATTGCTGTTTGAACTTTGAAGATTGTGGTGCTGTGATGAACTTGCTTTATAAACAACATGTAACGGTGCATTACTTTAATTTCACGTACAAAGATAATGGCTCACCGACCAGGAGGACATTGAATGAATACATTAAAAAAATTGTAATAAATGGACGAATTTAAAAAATAGCACATAATATATGTCAGTGCACACGTACGTTTTGATTCATTTTAAATAAAACTTGCTGTTTGTCAAAAATTGGTCAAGAGGTTATTCTATGGCATTTAGTGCAAAAGTTTCTGATGCTTGCTTCAGCTTCACACTCCAATTAATGTTAATTGACATATTGTTTTTGGAACTTGGAACTTTTCCACTTTTTCTTTTACCCATTCGTAATTTTGAGTTGTTCAACTTCTGGGTTAAAAACATGGCAAATGGAAACAGCCAAATCGCTTCAATAAATATTATTAATTGGTACATGTCATTGCTGACAAATATGAAGACGAAGAAAGTAAATAACAAGTGAATAAATAAGGACCCAAGTAAATATTATAATTTAAGTTAGCCTTGGCTAAAACATAAGTGAAGAAGACAGTTACCTTAAACAAATTTTTAGGATAAATATTTAACAGTACAATAAAAACATCGTTTATTTAAATACTTTTTTCCCCCCGAAGTTTATAAAATTTAAAATTTCATTTACATGATAACAAGGACTACAAAATTTTCTACATAATCAAGTATGCCATGAATAGAGTAACAAGTAGCAACAAACCAACACGTTTGTAATATACCATATGTAGATTTCTTTAGGTGAAAAGTTGGGGGAGGAAAAAATGGATAAAATACTAAACAAGAGTTGAGTTTCTCTTTGAATCCTGATTCTATTTTTATTCTTTGTAACAATCTTAAATCAAAACAATCCATAGTCCCAAGATTCTGAATCCATGATCATTCTTGGGTACTGATAGAGAGCAGCATCAAACACTTGCTTTCTGTCACCATCATTATCATCATTAACAAGCAAATCCCAACTTCTAATGAAGTCATCATCCCACAAGGCCATATTGGTATTGTTGTTGTCCTTGTTATTGTCAATAGTATTATTATTGTAATTATGAGACCACTCAAAATCTGGGAGCAGCAGGTCTTCAAGAAAGTTGGATGAATTTGAAGATGATGATGATGATGATGATGTACTTGTTGATGAAATGGAAGGAACACAGGGAACTGGAATCTCATCAGGTTCTATTATTGGAACTTCATCTGTGGAGAACACATTCATCAGTTCCATTGAGTCCAATAAGGGTGTCATAATTTGGTCTCCCTCTTTAGCTTCAGTGATGGTTGATGACTCAAATGAAGTCTCTGGCTTCTCCTGCTCCTTATTGTGGTCATATTCAGGTTCCAATTTGGAGTCAAGGTCAACTGGGAAAGATTGTTGTTGATGTTGTTCTAGCAATGGTTGATGGACTAGTTGTTGTTGTTGTTGTTGTTCTGGTTGTGTTTGAGTTTGCTCAGTTGCATTAGGGAGTGGCTTGTGGGTAACAGGATCAATTCCCATTTTCTTGAGTTTTTTCTTTATGTGGGTATTCCAGTGGTTCTTGATCTCATTATCAGTTCTTCCAGGTAGATGAGAAGCAATCTTGGACCATCTGCATAAAAAGAAAAAAATATGAGAAAAAAAAGGACATCAATATTCAGTAAAGTAATCCATTTTTTTAAAAAAAATAAAATAAAAATAAAAGATCTATCATATGGTCCATGGGGAGAGTAATGGTGACATTTGAAAAGGAAGAATGACTTTATGACCATTAGAAAGGTTTATCTTACAATGTCATGGAAGTTAGGGAATCAGGAAAAACTGCCCATAAGACAAACTTTGCCTTCATTTATTTATTCTATATTAATGATTCCCATTTACAGTCAACTTTAAAGAACTGCAATCATAAATAGTTCATTTTCTTTTTCCTTAAAGAAACTGAAAAAGAAAATAGAAAAAGAAAGAAGAGACTTAGTCTACAATTTTTATACATCTCCTCCTCCTAACAGATGTGTACTATGTGACCATATCTTATTTTTCTGATGAATAAACAAAGTACAACTTGAAGGGCATTTATTATAGAAAAAATAACCCCAAATAAGTTATTGCTTTATTTTGATTAAGAGATCTTAATTCACTTTTGTTCAAATCATTTTCTGAGATAAACCTAGTCTAATATTTCATAATAGCACTGTACCAGTTATTTACTCAGTGGAAATATTGTTCAGCAAGGAATAGCTAAGCATGCAGAACAGGGGAAACAGGGGAAGAGGGTGCATGGGGAAAAAAAAAAGAACCTGTTGCCAAGTTGAGCATGAAGATCAATGACCATTTTCTCTTCATATTCTGATAGAAGCCCTCTCTTTAGGTCTGGCCTCAGGTAGTTTGTCCATCTGAGCCTGCAACTTTTCCCACACCTTAACAGCCCTGAATGAATTCATAACCATAGAATTTCTAAGTCTTAAAATCTGTTTTTGAATGCTTGAATTAAAAATGCAAATGAACTTGAAGCTTTACTCCACTTAACCCTTTCCTTTTAAATATATTCAAAGGTCATCTTTAAAAAGGAAAAAAAAATGTGATTTTTGAATGCTTTCTTTCCTTGTCTTTGATAGGGAACAGAATGGAAAGAAAAAAGAGCAAAATGAATCCACTGACCAAAATGCAAAAATTTATGAACCAATTAAAGATTTTCATAAACAAATTCCCTATAGAAGCATGAAACTCCTAAAACCACCATTTGTACTAATGAGGGGATGCAAACATAAGGACAAAATTTGGGCCTCAGAATTTAAGACATGCATCAACAGAAGGAGCAACAAAATGAGACCTGCTAGCTTAGGAACAGCTCTCCAGCAACATTGGCCATTAGTGAGAATAAAGTTGATGAGCTTCTTGTCCTCCTCTGAAGTCCATGGTCCCTTCTTCAACCCAACTTTGTCACAGCAAGGTTGTCTTCCCATTTTTCTTTAGCAAAATGGAAAATGCCTACAAATTCTAACTGGAAAGTAGAAATGATCCTCAAAAACTGGAGGGTTCTAATTGAAACTGAAATATATATAGAGAGAGACAGACTTTAGACTAGAGTTCCTAAGAATATGCACATAACAAGGTAGGATAGAGCACCACCACCTACTTATTTATATATAAAATTATAACCCCTCTTAACTCCAAAGTCCTCAAACCCCACTATCATAATTACTCTTTTAATTTTTTTTTTTTTTGTTCTTTAATTTCATTCAATTTGGTTTTATTTCTTTGTATTTTTTCTGATTAATTATTTTATTGACCAATGACACGTGTAGTTCAGGGTCTTCGACACGGTCCACACGTGCGACGTCTTCGTCGGAAAGCTCCACCTCATCGAACTCCTTTGCTTGGTTTTGAAGCGTGAGATACTCCACTATCTCAAGCCTCACCCAAAATAGCAATAGTACAAAAATAAGCGTAATATTCCAAAAAATAATTGGGAGCACATCACAAATTCTTTTTTCTTTTTTCTTTTTTCTTTTGACATTGTCATTTCTACCGGTTTTATTATAATGAAGATTTTTTTATTTCTTTCATGTAATAGGAAATAAGTTATCTTATATTATAAATAAAATAAAACTCACTAATTTTTTTTAAAAAAAGAATCATATCTTTTTATATAAATGTAATATAAAATACGAATTTACGTAACATGAAAATATAATTTCCCTTATATTGAATTCAAATATGCAACTTGTGCCACTCTCTTTATAAATATTAGCGTTCACACTATACAGTGGTGAGATTGATAATAAAGAAAGATTGTCATTTGAAAGTGTTGGAATGCAGACAGATTTGAATATTTTAGTCAAGCATCATAGGTTTAAACATATTTACCAAATGTTAATTAAGAATGTTTAACCTGTTAGTTGAAATTATTTTAATGAGATAAAAGGGAGAAATAAAATATGTAAATAGAGAGGCTTCTTATTTTATTTTTTTTACAAAAAAATTAGTGACCAGTCAAGAAATATTGGGCTGAATTACACACAATTGAGCCTTGTCCAATAGCAATATAAAGTGAATATGCTTCTCTCCAGCGAGATAATTGTGCTTATACAGGAGAGCTTTGTTTGACTCTGGTGCTCAAATCAGTATTTGATCAATGCGATTAAGTTACGTTAGATAAGATGATCATACCATGGCTTTAAGCCTTCATTATACAGTGATTGAGTAATGTGCTTATGTTGCCTTAGCTTGACGACATTTAATTTTATTGATGGATTCAAGTGACTTTTGCAGCCTATCCCGTGTGTGGGATGGCTATTTATAGGTTATGCCTTTTAGATATAGCTGGAATCATGTGTTTGTCTTTCGATCATTGGCTGTTGGTGAGGCTGAAGAACTCTGAGTTGATGTTGTCATGACTGCATTTTCGCTGGATAATGTATACAGGGGATGGACACATTTCCTTGCCCTTTAAGTCTCTTTATTATTGGACTTTTTGAGCCATAAATAGGTTGGACCCTATATCCTGTATGGTATGGGTCCAAATCAAGTATTAAAAGAAAAATAAGTGTTTAATATGGAATTAAAAAAAAAACTGTCGATTTCGTGCCTTTACAATTTGGAATAAAAATATAAAAAGAATACTAATATATATATATATATATATATATATTAAGGGTTATATTTATTTCATTTTATATAAGATAAACAATTTTTCTACACACATAATATTTCCCATAAAACAAATGGGAGTGGTCATTGGACTAAGGCATCCTTGCGGCCTTGCATACACATGCGCTCTTTATCTATTTGGGTCAAGAAAGATATATTTCCGTAAAATCATACTTTTTCGTGCTTTGGCCATTTCATAACCAAAATTATATAAGTAACAATTTTGAATTCGTAATATTGACTTGAACAGATTATGTGATTTACAGCTGGAACCTGTTTGTAACCCTTTAGTTCCACGAGGGGAGAAAGAATAACGTGAAATCAATCGGCTAAATACTTCTATTCAGTGGAATAAATAAGTGCAATATAAACTAATTCATCATAGAATAAGTCATTGTGTAAAAATATAGAGTTTAATTGGTAAACATTGAAATATAATTTTTTTTACTTATATTCATTAATAATTCGACACTTTGTTACTTTTATTTCATTATCTCATAAAAATAATAGATAAGAATATGTTAAATTATTAGTAAATATTAAAGTAATATATATATATATATATATATATATATATATATATATATATATAAAGTGTGTGTCATTTTAAAGGATGTAAAATTGTGTTATTCTAAGTGAAAAAAAGAGATAGATCATGAAGAAGAGAGAGTGGACAAAAAAAATAAAGGTGTAGGTCCCACCTCTTTGTGAGAGTGAAATGACACAAATTGTGTCATTTAAAAGGATAAATATTTTTTCATATATATATATATATATGTCATTGTTGTTGTTGATTTAATAATCTGATCATAATAATGGATATGGCAGCTATACTTGAGTTTGAGTACCTACATACGCGTTGAAACTAGTAGAAGAGGCATCACAGAATAGGATTGGTCCACACTCTCTTGTTTTAAAACACTAAACTTTTCCTCTTTTTTTTTTTTATAATAAAAACTTTTCCTTTTAAAACACAAAGAAATAAGAGCAGCTAGCCAGGTCCTAATATTCACCATGTCTTGCATTTACTTCTTGTAACTAAAGTCAGGTTGCCAACGAATTCTTATAACAGCAATAAATTAATCAATCGTATTATTATGTACTGATCATTTATAATGAATCTATTTTCTCTAAATAATTTAAATATTATAAATTTATTGTACATATTATAAAATTTAATCTAGCTAGCTAGTAACATGTCATTACGCATAAGATTCAAATTTTCAAATTGTGGATAGCATTACCATTGTTTCATCTTAATGTGACCACTTGCGATAGCTGTTACATACTTACATGCAATCAGAGCTTGATGCGGTTGTGGTGATTATGTACTGTGTTATGAAAATCGACCCGTGAATCGGATCACCAACCAATTTAGTTTAAATATTGGACTGGATATGCATTCGATTGGTAAACCAGACCGGCACCAATTTTTTAAAAGAATCGGTTTTGTAAATTTTTTGACAAAATACTTGAAAAAATATCACCAATGAGATTCGAACCTAAACTATGTAAATATAACTTATGGTACTTATCACTAATTCAACTCTAATTACTAGCTAAAATGCTTCTAATTTTATATTTATCATATTTTATTATATATATTTAATTTATGTAATTAAACCAATAATTCACCGATTGAATCAGTGGTAACCAAAACGTTACGGTCACATATGGTAATTTGAAACTTAGACAAGATGCATAATAAACCCAAGTCCGTTGCCACAGGGTTCTAATCAATGGGCCTACCCTCTTGATACGAGGGATCCATCCTTAAGATTAGACGGTTTTTATATATATGCAATCACAGCTTGATTCTTTTTTTTTTTTGTTGGTAAATACAGCTTGATTCTAATTAATATTTCTGCAGGTGCACTTTATATAATTATAATTTAATTTATAGAAATGGCATCAAATAGACTAATGTTAATTGTTATTATTTCCAATCTAATATTTTTAATTTTTTGTTCTCTTGATTTGGGTCTATAGGATGGAAACAACTTATTATTTAGTAACATACTATTCTTTTTGATTTTCAAACAATGAGATGGGAAAACAAATTCTATTACATTGTAAAATATTCAAATAATGATATGGTAATTTTTTTTCATTTTATCCCATATTATTCTATTATATTCATGATTAAATATTCTAATATAAGATGTGTGTTAAAAATCAAAGGATCAGATTCTAGCTTGCGGAACAAAAGTTTTTATTACTCCACACGTGTGTAAGAACTTTTCTTATATAAAATAATAGGATATCTCTATGTTACAATGTTTAATTATTTATTTCTATTTTTTAATAAATTTTAATTTTAATTTTCTAAATTATATTCATAATGAATTTTATTGAAGTAAAAGTTGTTATTTTCATTTGTCACTTATATTTAATAATTTTTTTTTTAACTTTGACGGTTAAAAAAATTATAAAATTAGCCATATTTTTTATGATTTCATATTGAAATTTATACTATGTATATACAAAATTGAGAATTCTAATAATGTTACTCACAAATAGGTCCCTTGTATTTAAACATAATAGTTTTATGTTGGATTACCTATATAGTAGGAATATAATATTAGGTAGTACTTTATTTATTGTTATCGCATTTGTCTATATATATATATATATATATAAAATAAATCTTATGTTATAGAAAAATCTCAATCTCATGTCATAGATACATTAAGTGTGGGACCCACTTATTTTAAAAAAAATAAAATAAAAACAAAAAAAATAGTAACACACTTTTTTATAGTGTGAGTAGAAGGGATTATTTTCTCATGCAACATGAAATATATATATATATATATATATATATGTATATATATATATATATATATATATATATACCCACTTTTATATTATTCTATTTTTAGTTTATTTTATTCCTACGATGGGGACGTGGCAACAACACAAATTAATAGTTTAGGGTAACGTGGTCAAATCAAAGTACATATAGTGATACAGAGAATATTAACAAAAGTAAAACTGAGTTTTTTCATTTATTATAAGTTGGTCAAAGGAGCAAATATTAACAGAATGTATAGGTCGCAAAAATCAAATTTAATTGCATAAGGTTAATACTCCAATTGATCTTACCCGTAAACCAATTCTATTGACAACAATTATATCGTTAAAAACTTTAAAATTTTTTTTACACATTTTAGTACGCCGTCTTTTAATGATTAAATTAACTCCCCAGTATATAGAATTGCATATACTGATGAAGCTTTCATGGCTATCACGATAATTCCCGCATAGTAGTTGTTTCATTTATTAATTTATTTCCTTTAAATTTGTAACATCGATTATGAGTCTATGCTTAGCTGATATTTCTATAATCGTCTTGTGAATGGTTATATATAACCGGACAAAAAGAATATGGAATCTGATATGGATTTATATTATAATAACAGAAGGTCCATTTTGAAAACC